TTGCATATTACACCTTCAATGACCATGGCAAACAGCTTCCAACAACATTGATGTAATATATATTAAAAGATGTGCACTAAGCAGGTTACTTTTTGAATGTTGATAGTTTGACCCTTTTTATATTTGGATCAAGGATTTTGCCTTCGAAGGGCTTCACAACTCTCTCAGACTCGAGGAGTCTTTTTGTGTAAGGTCACAAAGACCCACTCTACCGTTAGTGTTGATGTGTGAAATGTGTGATTGAATGAATCTTGAATCTGTCTTGAAATTGGCGTTGACGGCGGACATGTTGTCTCTCAGCGGAACTCTTTAGAAAGATGCCTTTTAACAAATGAGAGCGAATGAATGCTCTGCTTTTGGCACCTTTTCAAGGCTTCTCAGTTGTTCCCTCGTGTCCTGTTACTTAGAAAGATGACACAAGAATACAGATTACAGATTTAGCAGATAAGTTTTGTTCAAATGCATTACTGACAGTTCTGAATGTCACTGTTCAAAGTTGTACTTTTTGTTCGGATACCTAGACAAATACAGACAGTTCATTGATTTTAATGAGGAAATTGCTTTATTCTAAAATTCTCCACTCTCGCTCACTCTGTCTCATTTTCATCTTCACCCCTCATCTCTTCCTTTCCTTTACAGCCGCATGGGCTTCAAAGTGGCTGCTTCTCTTCCATCTGGTTCCCAATCAATTTGGTCTCATTTCCTGCCAATTGGTCCACCTCCATGGGCTAAGGCTCATTTAACAGGAAGCATCGCATGTTGAGATCATCAGCTGTAGTTATGGTGATCAGTCCCTGAACCAGTCTGCGTCACGGAAGGTTGCCTGGGGTTTGGCCACTTGACTGAAGTTTTGGATATAGCCCTTCAAGACCACTGGGGGAAGGTGTGTGTGTGTGTGTGTGTGTGTGTGTGTGTGCGTGTGTGTGTTTGTGTGTGTGTGTGTGTGTGTGTGTGTGTGTGTGTGTGTGTGTGTGTGTGTGTGTTTGAAGTGGCAGTGTTTTAGCAGATGGCTCACAGATATACTCCTTTAACAACGTGAACATTTAATGAAGAAACAAAGTTTGTGGTTTATTGATGTAGGGCCATGGGGTCCGCTTGTTTCATATGCAAGTCATGTACAGTCAACTCACTGCAATCTGCATAGGAGCATCGGTTCATTTTAATTGCAGAATCACGTGTCACTGTTTGCAAACAAAAACCCATCCTCCGAGTACAGCAAATAGGACTCTTCATGACTTTATTGCCACTTTCTTAAACACTGTATAATCTGTTACCAACATGGCGCCTATCTGATCTCTATAAACAGCGATGCCTCACCCATACAGTTTTTATTATCACCCATATTTCTCTTTCTGTTAGAGCTGCTGTCCTTAACTGAGCCCTATTCTCGAATTCATGTTGTTTTCTGAGTACAACAGAAGGCTTACAGGAAGAAAGAAAACCTGTAATGTGTCCTCACTGATGTGCCAGAGAGATTTTTTTTTTGTCTCATACATTTTAAGGCAAGAGCTGGCAGGGTGGTGACTGAGTGTTGAACAGGAGAAAGCGGAGCAATCCTGCTGGACAGCGAGTTGCACTTACACCTTTCCCATTTTACACGGGCTTCAGATGTTGAGAAAACATATGTGGACTGCTGACAGTCTGGTTATGGTCTTATTTGGGTTAAGCTGTTTCAGGCCTCTTTGATAGTCTGCAATTGAATTTCCCAGCTGAAATGCATAAACCAATTAACAGAATATTCCACCTTTGTGGCTGGAAAGGTCCTTTTAACGGAATGATTATTCTCCACTGAGCAGTGAGTGTGAGTGCTTCCTCTGCTTTACAGTAACTCATACATGGACTGTTTTTCTACCCTAGTACATCTTTCTATATTAAAAAATGCACCAGTGAAGTCTTTATTTTAGTCACGTACCCAGATGTAGTGTAACATGACATCTAACTATATGCCGAAGCCCTTTATTATATTTAAAGACATATTTATGAGAATACTTGTCGTCTTTATTGTGAAAAATAGACACAAGATCCACACAATACAGAGCCTCAGTGTCTGTATGCTGCACATGAAGTAGCCGGTCTTATCAGTGGGAGCGGATGGAGAGCGTCCAAGTGAGAGGCTCAGTCTGGCTCCATGTATGTCATAAGTAAGAGGATGACCTTGGCTGAATTTTAACTGCAGTTCATGACAAACACACACACACACGTCTTTTTCTCTCTGTACCTCTGTCTTTTTGACACTCTCTTTACACACACACAAACTGCCTTGCTCCTACACATTCCTCTATACAGTGTTACAGCTGGAGACAATATACTTCACTTTATCAAAAAAAAAGCCATTTGTAGGACACTCTTGCAGAGCCCTTACACGCAGGTGGTTAGATACTAAGTCATTTGTTCTAGTTATTACGATGGGATGAATTATTTGCTGCAAGGTTAAGATGTTGCTTGAAAGTTAATATCAGGGGCAGATTTACTCAACGTTCTTACCCTTTTTCTTCTCCTTGCATTTAATGACGTTTGAGCCCCATTTTTTATCATGGCTTCTAAATAAACCCGACACTGGGTGTTTGAGTCATGTAACATAAAACCCAAAAGACATAAATCAGTTTTTCAGTTTCTGTGTAGTTGTTCTCTCCCAGGGCAGGATAAACAGTCAGTGAAAGCTGATATCGATGTGTTTTCGGCCAATAAGTTTGAGGAGCTTTGCTGGTAGATTTATATTGGACCACAGCGAGGTGAGATAAGGGGCTCCATTTAGGAGGAGGACAGAAGTGGTGCTGTGAGTGAAAGTGCCATGAGATTTGTACAATCCAACCTATCATGTCGAAGTTGCTGCCACTGTGGTTTCTATCTGTACCTCTGTGGCCGTGTGCTGCAATGTTGGCCTGAGGAGGCTGTAGACTCCCGCGTGCCTCCTTTAATACACATGAAGTCACCAGGTGCTTCTTTTCAAGTTTTACTGTTGCATAATACATGCAGAGGTTTACCAGCTCTTTGTCATTTTACACTCAGCCGCATTATAACAGAAGTGCTTACTAAGTGGAGATGAATGCATCACAAATTTAACCAAATTTAACAAAAGTGATTAATTAATTAATGTGTTCAAAATGGCCGAGATACATCAGCTGGTTTAGCATAATTAGATACTACACAATTTAGAAATTTCAATATTGTTATCCCCCTAGAAATGTCATCTTAGGAAGCAAAACTAAACTTTGTTTCCTGGGAGCAACTTGGGGTTTAGTGTCTTACCTGAGAACCCGGGATCATCCGCCAACCTTCCGGTTTAAGAAGGACCTCTTCTCACTGAGCTACAGCTTTTGATTGGACTGCGCTACAGATGTTTCCTATACGAACCATTTTACTCTTTACACATTAAATACACCCTGTTGTAGGACTCACCATAACAACAACCAGAACATCTGTTGCTGCCTCCGAAACTACAAACACCACTTTTTTTTGTTGTTGGGGGGAGGTGCAGGGAATTGTTGCAGTGTTTGGTGATTCGCCCTTGTGTTTTCCAAATGCCCGCAGTATGGAATGATGTTCTCACATCTAACAAAGGTTTACTGATTAAACATTAGTTTCTTTTCCTATTCCTCAGAGTTGCAGCTCAAAAATGAGCACTTCAAGATTTTCTTCTTTGGAGTAATTCACTGTGAAACTGAGAACTAAAGCTTATATACTGTAATTACTTGACCTTTTATCTGTTACTTTAAAGGAGTGGCCTTGACCTGTACTGTGTTTCAGATTGGTAATGAGCTATTGTACATTCACATTCACCCTCTATCTGCATAATTACCATTTCATATTATTATGGGAAAAGCCCATTCATTCATAGGGTATTTAATGCAAATTGAGACTCGGATCAAGTCGAGTTGCAGATTTGAAGTGGAAACTTGAAAAATGGTAATTGTCTCGTTCAATCCTCTTTATGGCTCACTTGCCCCTGCAGACTCAGCAAAAATGTCGAGCAGATAAGCCAATGAGGTTGTCAGAATTACGATAAAGTACCCCATCTTGTTCAAATGCAAGAAAACAAGTTTCTATTTTTATTTAAATTAGTTTGGTCTTCATGCAGCCAATGATGTCAGTTTTACTAAAAAGAAAGTCACTGTAAAGAGAATCCTCCTCGCCCCGACATGTCATGTAACCGATTAAAAGAGAAATGTTTCCTCGATTGACCTTTGAGGTGTCATTCTTTTACTGTAACATGAAAAGGAGAGTGTAGCGTGCTCGTTTGTTACAATACTCACAGCTTTTGTGAACTATTAGATTATTAGCACCGAGCCTTCGCCTTGACCGTACTCCACTCTGTCACCCTTTTTTATTTACCCATCCAATCGAACTATGACTTCCATTCTATATAAAGGCCTTTTCAGTCTGGGAACTGCTCCATGACTTATGATTATGTTTAATGGCAAGCTCATTTTTTTGTGGTACATTCGTATTTAAGACTTGAAGACTGTTTTAATGAGCTCTCATAAGGTCTGCTTCCTTCGCCCCTGGCTAGATCTAGCTATGTGCAGCAGGCAACTCTACTAGACCAAGACTATATAAGGCATGAACACTTCCCTAGACATGAAGACATGCCATTCTTCCCTTTGACAGTTATTATCCAGCGGGGAATGGTAGCTACACTTCTCAAGTAGATCCTTGATTAAAACATATTGCATGATTCAAGATTCTAACACTGCTGCAGATGGAAAGGTAGATTACTCACAGCAACATGCTATTTGGCACATGAAAAGATATACAAATTAGTTGATGACTGAAGACCTTTGGCTGTAATTTGAGAGGCAAAATTTATATTTTCTGGAGAGAAAGATTGATGGTCTTTCCTACCTGTTCAAATATGCCCTCCATTTCCAATGCAAAAAAAAAAAAAAAAGGTTAGCTTTAGGTGTTCCACTTCCTAATTTGGACACATCGTCCCGACACAACTCATTCTTTCCTTTCCTCTTTTCCTCCCTCTGCCCCCTTGATCCCTGTCTGCCACCCAGACGCCATGATCCGACCAGAGGAGGATAATCATGCACCCCCAGTCGACAGCATCGTAACCAGAAGGCCCTCCGCTGAAAGGTGACCTCCAGACGCTTCACCTCCCCAAAACATTTGGTGAGTTAAGAGTCACAGAATCCATTGTTTTCACAAATGACACCATATCCTCCGTCGTCAACATTTGGCAAGATTTGCAGCTCCAAATCATTTGTTAATGTGCACGTTAGACATTTTATATGTCCTCTGCAACAGTTGCCTTGCATGGCAGCTGGATTCTTGCAATGTCACACTGGCATGTCAAGTTATGCGTTTGTGTCCGTTGCGCCAGAGCACGGACTAATCAGTGTAATGTGAGGAGCAACGGGCGTAGCTTAGGTGGGGACGAGACTACAAGGAGAGGCGAATGTTCATTCTAAACAACAATGGAGGCTTCTAAAGAGGTTAGCCTAGATGCTGCAATAGTATTAGTTACGTATGTCAGAGAACGCCACTGAAGGCTTTTCTCAATGGAAACATTTTGTTTTGCTCTTCTCCCGACTTCAGTAAAAGTTTGTTTAACAGATGGTTCATCCAATTACCACTCAGTATGTTTTGAAAGTGTGACTGACCTTTTCCAAACAGTTTCCAATGTCTGCTTCTCAGATGGTTCTGTGTGACAAACATAGACTGTGTACAATATGGACGGATTCTCCGTGACGCATCCCATAGGTTTTTGAAGAGCCATTGTGAAGCTCAAAGTGGGTAGCTCTGGCCGTCGCCATTTTTGGCAGTGACGACACAGCCTAATGTGAGCGACCTAGTGCGGCATCTACTTGTCACTCAAAGCGGCCACGCCCTCAATCATGAGTAACTTCAAGCCCTAATATAATTCAAACAGCTGAGATGTATGAAGATTCACCTCCTTTAACGATGTCATGATCAGGGAAATTAGCTAAAGATCCAAAACAAGTTGGTTTTTTGTACCAGGTTGTAAACATGCTGTAAAAATTAAATTTGGGGGTCTTTGGGGGTTGACTCGCTTTTGGAGCCAGCCTCAAGTGACCATTTGATGACCTGCAGTTTTTATGTGGGATTGACTCAAAATAGACTACAATGCGTTTTAATCCTAATAAGGGAACATATCAACCAGTGCAACAATGTTGCTCAGTGAATTGTTGTCAATACTTTTTAGGCAACATAGGAGGCTTTGGCTACACATGCAGTACTCAATCCATTCATTGTTTGTAAGGTGTTTTCATCTGCTTTGTGTTGAAAATAAGATAAATATAGAATCACACTTCTTAAATCTTATTTGTTGAATCTGAAAAAAAATAAAAACCCTGTGTCTCATCCATGAAGCCAGTGCAGATCACTAAACTAAAGTGCCCATGTGAAAACATTGGTGAATCATGGTTGACCTTAATTTGGATGCACATTTCTGCCAGTGTGATATTAGCATAGGCAAAGGCACATAGGGAAGCAGTCCTTCGAGATGGGGGGAACCCATCTGTAACTTATTATCTGTAGAAACTAAAAGTCTGCGCACACAAGACTGAAAAAAATTAACATAATAATAATGAGAACCACAATACCCAAACGCCAATCCTACCAGTACTTATACTGATAATATTATGATGTGTAATAATGGGCAATGTGATTGGGATTGGGAGGGGGGGGGGGCAGAGAAATACAGAGCTTGTGATAACGTTAGCTGTGCTGCCTGAACACGGCATATGTGTGGTTTGATAAAAACAAGTGGTTTGATAAGAACCTTAGAAATGTTGTTAGAGACAATGTATTGGTGCTTCAAGAGGCAGGCAGGCAGCTCCTCAACAACGGAAATGGATATGTGTGTTGACTTGGAGAGGCTGGGATTTTGATTGTACGGCCTGAATTGCCACTTGTGACCTGGCAGCAGACATACAGGCAACCAGGCTACTGTAATCTGTTCGCTCATATGCCAAAGGATTTCAACTAGGGTGAGAACATAGTGACAAAAAATATGAATATTTCATATTTTCATCATACAGGTTATGCTTTATCTATTAATCCAAGGCTTCAGTGGTCATGACCACACATGGAAAGCTTTTGCATTCACTGTATGAATGAAAAACAAATGAATGAAAACAAATGGTAATCGTTATAGTAAGAGACATATGGCTGGTTTTGAGTGATACCTATACAGTGCATGATGCTGCAAAGCTTGCTCTGTGATAAAAAAAAAAAATTCCAACAGCTGATCTAAAAAGATACAATTAAGTGAAATAGCCTAAAGCGAGAGAGCCTCTCTATATAAATCAAGTTTGCACTGAAGCAATGATCGATAATAGACTTGCATTCATATTCGTGGAGAACCTCAGGCTATAATCAAATCAATCTCTGTATGTGAAACTAACACACAAAAAAACATTAAAATCAAGCAAAAAATAATAACTTGTACTAACTGGCCAAAGGCAAGGCTCATTTGTCATGGGAAAAAAATGGTGCATGTGTACATTGTAAATGAAGTTACTCAATAACGAGTTCAGTGGGTTTTCAGTTTGTCACCGTGTGTACAGCAGGACTGGTTAAAAGCATTCGAGCATCGGATGGAATTCAGTCAACGTGCATTTAATTTGAGTTCTCAGAAACTGGAGGCGCAGACAAGGTTATACAAGAGATATGGTCGAGCACATTTATGCATGAGTGTAGGAGGAGATAAAAGATTTCTGTCACCTCATTTTTTGGAATATGATTACCTATCTGAAGTAATGTGTTTGTCCGACGCGTCTTCTATCTCATCTGTTTCAGCTATTGGTTACATTGTTCGATTTTATTGGACTTTCACGATGTTTAGTGGCAGATTGTAATCATTGATTCAAGGTTTGTAATGCTTTGAGGAACTGTGTTTATCTGAAACCCACAAGTATATTGATATTCCAAAAACTTTAGGACATGTTCTTCAGTCATATTTCCTATTTACAGTAAGAAATTGCAATAATTAAATGGCATTTTCTCATCATTAAAAACTTATTTTTTTGCAGAAGTTACTCTTAAATCACACTGCACAGCAGATCTATAGAAGCTACTCTTACTTCCTGCATGCCTTACAACTCTAGTGCACGTATCTCAGAAATTAAAAAATAACTTGTAGAGATCTCATGCTGCAATTCTGCAACAGCGATTTAAGAGAAACCCTCAAATTATGCAAGAGTTAATGAACGCTTTAGTTTTTGCTTATTTCTGTAGTATTGTCTCAGATGTTGAAAAAGATGCAAAATAATCAAGACTACATACAGAATTTTTGCATTTACTCCACTTTTTAGAGCGGATATCATAACCATTTGTGCCAAAATTTAACTGATGGAGTGTTTGAGGTTCTGCATTATGATACTTCAAACATTTAACAAACCTATTCAGTATTCAGCTGCAGCTCTCAGGGGCTCATACTTGCAATTACAGAATAATCCTTGACTAATTTAGGAAATCTCTGATATAACAAGTCCATTAATACACACATAGAGGCACAAACACACACACACACACACACGCACCATAACTTTACTCTGCTGAAGTCTTCACAATTCACTTCATTTTTTGATGAAACTAAAGCAGAATTAATCATTTTTTAAAACACAGCAATTTTTGTTCTCAGTCTCCCCAAAAAGTCTTTAGCTTTGCCAAATTAGTATCTCGGTCTACATTGATAGCTTCTTCAGTTCCAGCTTAAAGTTTGTAAACAGTTGGCAATGATGTGTGTCTTCTAGGAATGCACTAATCATGTTTTTTATTTGGCCCAAATCCCGATCCAAGTCATTAAATATGTAGTATAGTTGATCTTTTCATTAACATAACACAGCAGCACATTGAATACTAAATAAGGTGTATGCTAAAAATACTAAAACAGCTTATGCTAGACTTTATTTCAACATGATTGCCCCCACATATTTTTTACTTAATCAACACATCATGAAGCCCCACGTGAGCCTTTGTTTGGATCTGTTGGGACAGGAAGGTTTGGACAGCTTCTCTGTCCCAGCACTGAAGTTCAAATACAGTTTTTAACCAATTGCAGCACTTGAGAAGCATGGTGCTTTTGAAAAAACGTTGCTAAAACAGATGCACGTTGAGTCTTTGTTTAACCTCTACTGTCTTTGCTGTCAGTGTGTCTATATGTCTTCATTGGAACAGTTGGCTGCTCTACATTTTTGGTGTAACTCTGTCGTTCTCTTGTTCATTAATCAAGCTGTATTTTTTCAATAGTAAGTGTTTCAACAGAGCACAATGGAATATTTTGACAGCTGCACAATTGGTTACAATGAATAAAGGATGTGACTTGGATGCCCTGTGGTAACACAAGCATTTAACATGAATCAATATGATTGAGATGGAGGCTGGTGAAGAATGTACATTAATTATGGCTGAAGAGGCCGGCTGTCAGTGTTGCCAATTTGGCGACCTTCCTGCTAGATTTAGAAACTCTTGGAGCTAATTCTGCTCGCTACTTTCATTGGAAAAGAGTCGGCAACTCTGGGCTGGGTTTTTCATTTGGATCACTTTTAAGGATTCAACTTAGAATTGTATTATTATTTTAATCGATGACTTGATTTATTGATCGAATTATCGGTACTCAATTAGTAAAATAGATCAGGGGTTCTCAACCTTTTGTTACTTAAGGCCCACATCATATTGTCCCACCACGCTTTGCAGCATTTACTCTGTCTAATCCTCAATTTGTTTGATGTAATGTAAAAACTTTAACTACAGCATACCTAAAGAAAATAGGTGTATAATTTATTGCCAGAAGGCCGTCTTTCCATTCTTTACAGTGTAGAGCTGTATGTATGTATGTGTCATATGTATCAGTTGCTGTCGGGGACAGTGATGAACTTCACAAACACCCGGGTGCTGTGATGGAGCGTCCCTGTGGCTACGAGTTGAAGCCTCTGGGGACAGATTGAAGAAGTCATGGGTGTTAAGGAAAGTGAAAGTACCGCAGCTGCAACACTGAACCACAGCTGTGATATTGTCTCTGATGGCTTTTTATTCTGGAGTTAGAGCCTTGAGGTGCTATCATGTCAAGAATGCATGCTGTGTCATTCTCGCTAAAGTATGCAAGAGAAATTGATACTGTAGATAGAGTAATTTGTACTGTTAAA